CATGTGGTCAAGCTGCTTCTCCCAAAAGCCCCAACTTACTGACAGAAATGTTTACAAAAACAAGTCTTTCTAAAATCTTCCCACTCATAAATGCTGGTTAGCACGTGCGGTGCCGTCTATGTAGGCAATTTAGTGAAAAATGTTTTGGCGCAACTCTTATTCACGCGCGCGCGCACGAACTGGCAGCGTGTGCGAAACTGCACTTCAGAAGCAGGATACAAGACCGCTCGATTTTCTCCCGGCTCAACCAGGGGATGTCTGGTTTTGTTTAAGCTAACTTTCGGCCTTATCGATAAAAATATGATCATAGAGATAAAAAGACGAAGCTTAAATGATTGAGTACGTGGGTGCGTGAGCAGTTACTGGAATTTCTATACGGCCAAGACTCAGAGTACCTCGATGTAGTCTCATGCCAATAACTTTTATCATCGCGTTCAATGCCACCATCCACCACAATGACTGAGTCCTCGTCAGTATCCAATCTAGAGTCACTCTTTCATCGTCTATATGCCAAATCACTCTCCTAGTTAAATAGAATGGAAACGAGATCGGACGCAGTGATCTCTAGGGTTTTAAGATACCACATTAACAGCACAGGTGCCAGCTAAAGGCCCTAACACTTGTGCTTCGCCGATATTCTGTCGCTGAACGACAAAACTACGAGGGGTTCAGCTCATCTATGGGCTCCCCAGCATTCTCCGTCTGCTTTCTAGTAGATAAACCAGTTCAGAAATCGTTGCTTTTATTTCCTCGGAAATTAACTGCGAACATGGAGTAGATCAGTGTATTCCAGGTTAATAGACTAACACCAAAGTTTCTGTGTATGAATATGTAGACCGACGTCCATCTGTCACAGCGGATAACCGCGTAGTATTCAGTAACTGCCGACATGCAGCTGACATCATATTTTAGGGTAAATGGATGCCATACGAACGATACCTGTGTTACACCGATATTCTGCCGCTGCGTGATACAGCTGCGAGGGATTCGATTCATCAGTGGGTCCCCCAGCATTCCCCGCGTGGTTTCTGATAGATGAAGTTCTAAAATGCGTTTTCCTTTCGAAAAGACAAATTAGGTAGGGTAGGAAAAGTACTCAGTCTGCAGTATAATTCTACAATAATTCAGTTACCTCAGGATACCGGCTTTCGAGAGAATGCCCTTCCGGCTGCATGCAAATACTACACTCTGTAAAAAATGACTACTTATGTAACGTGCATTTCTGTCATTGATTTTCACTGTCCTAAATGTCTAATTATATTGCATGGAAAACATGCATAAGCATATTCATTCTTCCGCTCATTCGGTAGAAAATTACGTCTTTTTCTAATTTTATAATCGAAGGAGGGACATAATTCGGTTTTAAAAAAGTTTCTGATTGTGGGACTCTTAAATACGGTGAAATGGCCGTTCGTAAACCCGCATATCTCTGCGTTTACCAATGTGGCTTGTGAAGTTAACAATAAACGATCAAATCCACTGCCTACTTTTATGAACCCCTATATGGTCCCCCTTTAATACCGTAGAGAAATGAGTAGTTTTCCGTACGCGGAAAATACATGGCTTGTAGTTTGGAAACCCTGTATCCAAGTGTGACGGCAGATCGGGTTCAACATTATTCGGGAATTGAAAAAGATTTGAAAAACCGAATAATACCCTTCCTTTAAATATAAAATTGAAAGAAGACGTAATTTTCTACGGAATGAGCAGAAGAATGAATATTCTTATGCATGTTTTCCATGCAATATAATTAGACTTTTAGAGGCATCGAAAATCAATGAGAAAAATGCTTGCTACATAAGTAGTCATTTTTTACAGAGTATGGTTTTGTCGCATTCGGAAGGAAGTTCTTTCGAAAGCCAACATCGTGAGGTATCTGAGTTATTATAGAATTATACTGCAGACCGATTAGTTTTACAAACCTACTTAATTAATCTTTTCGAAACGGAAACGCATTTCGGAATTTAGGTTGACATTTCATGAGTTAGCCCACCTACTGTATATATGGAAGGTATAGGTAGACTGAGGCATCTGAATTTGCAGACAAAGGTTCACACGGTGGACATCGTCGGCAACGACGGTCGAACTATCGGTGATGGTGATGGTGGTCGTGGTCGTTTGGGTACTTTGTGGTTAGATTTTCGTTGAAATCCGCGGAACCAGCTTCTCAAGGTCACGCACTAGCAAGAAATCAGTTTGTTTGGCAAAACCGGAATCAAATTCGAAAGGAGTCGCTCGTCATTCATTCCATCGGAAGACCTGCCTATTAATGCGACCAACTTCTGCCTAACTTCAATGCCTGCCTACCTCTTTAACGACGCCCGAAGTATTGCACAGTACTGGAGCGGTGTTATGACGTCTTCCTTCTAGTTCTATAAGGTACAGTTTGTGCTATTCAAAGTAAACTCTTAACTTACAATACGCGCTACCTGCACAATACGAAGAACAGGGCATTGGTATGTGGATTATTTCATCATCGACTACTTGAGTTAAAGGTTGGGGAAGCATTGAATGTGCATATATTTTAGACGGACTTCATGTTGACTATTAAATATACATTTCCATCAAAAGTGGTGAAAATGCGATTTATAGGTGGCATATCAAAATAAGAGGAGGCTTTCTCGGGGAGACGTTTATTGGAGGTCAGACGTTTCGAGTAGTTGTTTCGTCTACCCATCTTCAGACACCGGGAAGTCTTGCGCACACCTCTCCTTATATGGCACACTTTGTCTGATGCGTGGCCGGCCAATGGTGCCTGTGTGGCTGCATCCGTAAACTGAATCGCCCACACCCCCGTCGGTCATGACGATGGTTGACGGACCTGATTGTCTGCGCCCTGAGAGGCAACTTGCTGTGGCGGTTGACAGAGCAGTACGTGAACATCCAAAATTCGTAAACCTGCCTTGAAGTATGATCATCGCCCCGGCCCACAATCTTAACGGCCTTAAAGTTAAAGGTGGGTCTCATTTGCGCGACATGGGTTGTTACCTCTGACTTTCGGTCCAACCTTTTCACGACCAAATTATGCTCGCGTATTCGCGTTTGTAGCTGTCGGCCGGTCTCCCCAACGTAGGTGCACTTCCCGCGGCTGCAGTGAATTCGGTAGGCGAAACAACTACTTGAAACGTCAGACCTCCAGTAAAGCTTTCCCTGTGAACGCCACCCTTTATTTTGATAAATTTCCCTATATATGTATTGAAAAGACGTCATTAGATTCCTTATAGTCAGCAGTCCACTTCTTGAGGTGAACAGCCCCTGTGGACACCGGCTTAACCTGATGGGAATATCTTGCAATAGATTTGGGCGACTCCGGTGTGATGTCCATCTCCTCTTACATGCTCAAGACTGCTCTCCCCCCTCAAAAAGCAATGCAGTTCCTCATGCCAGGTCTCAGGAAGGCCACATTCTTGTTGGAACACGGCCAGTCACCGCATGATGTTGCAACTGCAATAGGCTATTTCAGCTTCTTCGTCGTTCTCTGCTGCGTGTTTGTCTAGTAGTAAGTGTCCCCTTCATTCTGCATCTCTGCAACCGTTGAAGAGTAAAATCAGGGAGAAGGGGACGTGTCCGTTGGTCTTGCCGCCATATTTTCTGCCGTAAAATGGACAGGCTATCCGAAATGGCGGATAAGTAGTCCAGAAGCATGTGCGGCGTGAGCATCAATTGGATGATAGTGGTAACGGGGTCTGGCGGCGAAATAACCCATGAAACACTACGGCATCTGACTAAGGCAATTTGAGATTTTTTGGATCCGTCAGTGATCGAGTTTCTCCTCTAATCGCTGCCTTGCTGCCTTCACTCCCACTGGAAGGAGAAATCGAGAACTGGGCAGCCGAATATGACCGGAGTACGCGAGGCCGCGTCATACCTCGCCTTCTGCAGCGGCGCCTGTTGGTTTCCACGCGTCGAAGTCCCCATTAGAGAGGCGGTTGAGAGGTTTGCATGTCGATTTCTTGGGGAAACAGAACCTTCTGCGCATCGTCTCCAGTAGAATTTCCTCTGACCACCCCTTCTACTCAATAGAACAAAGAAGAGGGAGCAATCGGAAATATTCTGAGCGGGGTTTCGAGAGGTGCTTCGGTTAAAAACATAAGAAAGTAGGAATTCTTCAGACTCCGGTATTAACCAGCAGTCCTTCAGATTAATGATGTCCTGAGTATTTTTTGGCGTATGTCGTTCGTAGGTCGGAAATCTACCAGGTTGTTGACGTGAGTTCCTCCACAGATTTGTTGAACTCTGCAGAGTGGATCATTTCACAATGTGGAATTAGAGCACTTAAGGTGAATAGCGGTCTCCTGTCTCGGATCTGAGTTTTATTTGTCTCTCTCTCTCTCTCTCTCTGCAATAGGCGGAATGGCATTACCGACAAAGATAAGGGAGACTGGGAGGGCCATTTCTGGCTTATTAGCCGTCCACCGGACACTTTGACCTCGCAACCGACGATGTCCACTGTGTACTCCACAGTATCGTGAAGCAGGCACAGTGACTTGTGCGCGGATTATTTTACAGTGGTAGTAGACTTGCACAGCATCTACCGCACTCTCACTCCCCAGTGTCAGGACAGAGTTAAGAGAACCAGAGGTGGGGAAGAGGTCGCAGGTGGATGGCACAGTCGTGCCCGTAACTTAGAGCTACACCCCACACCCCCTGGTCCGCACAACAATTAGGCAGGATTTTAACCAACATTAACAGCACCACAAGTGGCACCCAGTGGCAGCTCAAGCGCATCTGCCGGCAGGGACCCATGAGTCGGAGGATTGCCAACACACGCCACGATGCGAGGGCCATGGTTTGCTGATCCTGGTCTATAGAAGCGAAGACCCGAGTCCCAGGAAGAAGTCTTGAAGAAGGAGACACGATCGCCGGGACAAGAGCTTTATTAGCCTGACGTTTCGGATTCCTACTCGAATCAGAGACAAAAGAGCAAGACCTGGCGATAGATTACATCTATTTTTACTTCTATTTCCCAGGACCTGGCGATCGAGACAATTGAACTGCTACTACAAAGCAAATACGATGAAACGGAGAACCGTCTTGGACACGCCCAAGTCCTTCATCTCCTGAAGCTCTGTCACAGGACGTACTTTCCGTTCAACGGGACAATCTACGAACAGGTGAAGGGCATACCAATGGGTTCGCCGATTTCGGGATTCATCGCCGAGGCGGTCCTGCAACGGTAAGAATCGCTGGTCTTCCAACACCACAAACCGACGTTCTGGGCCCGGTATGTGGATGACACCTTCGTCGTCATCGAACGGGATCAGGTGTTGACATTCCAAGAACATCTCAAAGCCGTCTTCCGGGACATTCAATTTACGATGGAGGAGAAAGAGAACAGCCAGCTGGATGTCCTCGTATGCCGCAAGGATTGTGGTGGACTAAAGACCAAGGTGTTCAGGAAAGCGACAAATACGATGCAAGTACTGAACTTCAACAGTAACCACCCAATCAGCCACAAACGCAGTTGTGTAAGGCCGCTCTATCGGCGTTTCGAAACGCACTGCAGTGAGCCGGAAGACAAGATTGCTGAACTACAATACCTCCGACGGGTCTTCAAAGCCAATGGCTACCCGCGCAACTTCGTCGACCGGTGCATACGCAAAAGGGACGAAAGGACTAACCGCACGGACACCAAATCTTGGCGGGCACTTCCGTATGTCAAGAACGTTTCGGAAGCTGTCGGCCGCCTTCTCGCACTACTTGGGGTTGGAGTGGCACACAGACCGGAGGCAACCATCAGGCGTCGGATCATGAAACCGAAAGACCCACTGCCACGGATAGAAACGTCTGGAGTCGTTTATCGGATCTGGTGCAGTTGCGGACAAAGCAACTACGTCGGAGAAACCGGAAGACAGCTCCGAACGAGAATGGCCGAACACACGGCAGCGGTGCGCAGAAATGACGCCAGCTCTCAAGTTGTGGCTCATTCGACGAGATCCGGCCGCACGTTCAAATTCAATAAGGCCGAAATTCTTGCGAGAGGGGATAATCGCGTGAGTCGGGAGCTACTGGAATCATGGTTTACTGGCCTCCAGTTCATTAACAAGTGCGACAATCTTCCCACTCCATACTGCGTGCTAAAACTTCGCCTGGGCGGAGTAACAAGTCATGCGGGGAGCGCAGAGGTGAACACTTTTCCCAACACCGGGGTCGGTGCGTCAGATGGTCGAGCAATCATCACGCCAACATCCAACGCACGTGATGAAATTGCAGCAATTATCGACTCGAATGTCGGCCATCAAGCAATGATTACACCAATTGTGACAATCCCGGATGAAGGGGGGGCCGTGAACGTTCATAGGTATGCGGTAGCATGGCTACTGCGTCCTATAAATACCGCAGCCCCTTGTGCAACAACCACCCGTTTCTGCTCTTTTGTCTCAGATGATGGATTCGAGTAGGAATCCGAGACGTCAGGCTAATAAAGCTCTTGTCCCGGCGATCGTGTCTCCTTCTTCATGATCCTTGTCTTTCAGACCGCATGATCTAGTATTCATCTCGGTGTTTTATGCAGTGCATCAACTACTATAGAAGTACGTGGTAAACGTTCCAATCTACAGATTGGATTCATCATAGGACATAGCGCAGGCGACCACTACTGTGTCCGGCCCGCGCGCTCTCCGAGCGGCTAGCTTCTAAGTCTCAACGCCTAATATGGGGTGGGGATGTCATTGCGCTTGTTGGTAAACTGCCACCTGTCCCCTCCCCCGCCTTCGGGATTCTTTTCTCTGCCTTGACACTGGGTATAGGTGAGGCGTTAGAGGAGAGAGTGCGGTAGATGCTGTACAAGCGCTCCCGCTATAAATTAACTCACTCACTAGTCACCGTGCCTACTGTCACCTCCTCGTAATGCACTCGGTGAACATTGCTGGTAACGTCGGTCAAACTGGGATCTTGTGAATCCTGACCCAAGCACAAACCCGAATAAAGCTCTTCTTCCAGCGACCGCTTTTACTTCTTGTCAACTAGTTCCTGGAAGTCGCACCTTCTCTTGCATCGATCAGATACTTGTCCGGCCTGTTAAACCTCAGGTTATAGCAGGTTAATTCAGCTCGACTTACAGCGTTTGTAAATTAGTCCTGCTTGCCACCACGTGTCTATGAGCCGAATGATGCCCAAAGGCCACCCAACATAGCAACACCGCGTAGTGTGTGATTTCATATTATGACGGTTTGTCAACTGCTTACATTTTGAGTGTAGATTCCAAAACAGTATTCCAGTGATTCCTTTTAATTTCATGTCTTTGAAGTAAATAAGATGGGATTTAACAAGAGAAGCTGGATTTTGCTTGATTTCACTGATGCAAACGTGGTAGGATCAAAAGTTTTAATAAGCCGACATCGTATGAGGCCGGTCGGTGCCTAATAAATTTAAATAGAACTGACAGGCGTGATCGTAAACACACCATTTTGTATTTATTGAGAGGAATTTTCCTCCGTTAAATTAATTTACACTTCTCGTTCGTTTTGGATTACATTGACTTTCAGACCGGCTATGCCACTGAAGGTACTTCACAAACTACACGCTGCCATCTTCATAGAAAAACTGGCTCACTGTCACCGTGATAATTGCCGCCCGCGCCCTCCCCACGTGACTGATCCTCCTGTCCCGGGAAAATCGCAGTACGGAATAGGGTACCGGGAGGTCATTGTGCTTGTTGATGGATTGCGGGCCTGAGAACTATGACTCGAGCAGCTCGCGGCTCACGCGGTTGTCACCCCTTGCGAGGATTTCGGCCTCTTGAAACTTGAAAATATGGCCGGGTCCCGTCGAGTGTGCCGCCACCTGAGAGTTAGCGTCTCCCCGCCTCATTGCTGCTGCTGCGTGCTCGGCAATTCGCGTACGGAGTAATCTCCCAATTTCTCCGACATAATTGCTTTGCCTGCATCTACACCAGATCCGGTAAACGACTCCAGACGTTTCCTGCCGTGGCAGCGGGTCTTTTGGCCTCATGACTTGGCGCCTGGTGGTTGCTTCCGGCCTGTGTGCAACCCCAACTCCAAGTGGATTGAGAAGACGACTGACGGCTTCCGAGACGTTCTTCACGTAAGGAAGAGTCTGCCAAAATTTGGGGCTGGTTGGATTTGGTCTCTGGTGTCCTTTTCGTATGCTCTGGTTGACAAAGTTGCGCGGGTAACCATTGGCTCTCATTACCCGTCGAAGATATTGTAATTCAGCAACCTTGTCTTCCATTTCACTGCACTGCGTCTCAACGCGCCGGTATAGCGCCCTTACGCGACTGCGTTTGTGACTGATCGGGTGGTTGCTATTGAAGTTCAGTATTTGCGTCCTATTTGTCGCTTTCCTGAACACTTTGGTTTTTAGGCCGCCACAATCTTTGCGGCAGACGAGGACATCCAGGAAGGCCAGCTGATTGTTTTCCTCCTCCTACATCGTAAACTGAATGTCCGGGAAGACGGCGTTGAGATGTGCTTTGAATGTAGGCACCTGATCCCGTTCGATGACGACGAAGGTGTCATCTACATACCGAGCCCAGAATTTCGGTCTGTGGTGTTGGAAAACCAGCTACTCCAGCCGTTGTAGGACCGCCTCGGCTATGAGTCGCGAAATCGGCGAACCCATTGGCGTTCCCCTCACCTGCTTGTAGATTTTTCCGTTGAACGTGAAGTACGTCTTGAGACGGAACTTCAGGAGCTGGATGATTTGGGCGTGTCCGAGGCTATTCTCCGTTTCGTCGTATTTCTCTCGTAGGAGTAGTTCGATCGATTCGACTGCCAGGTCCTGCGGGATAGAAATAAGAAGGGACGTGATATCAAAGGAAACCATGATATCTCTTGGCAGGAGACTTACTCCTTTAACTTTCTCCACGAATTGCGTTGACGAGCTGACTGTGGTGTTCGAATCGGAGGTCAGAAACTTGAGACGTTGGAACAGCCACTTTGCCAGTCCGTAGGTTGGAGTGCCCTTTAGTGACACGATAGGCCGGAGAGGAGCGCCCTCTTTGTGCACTTTTGGGAGACCGTAGAATCGGGCTAGGGCCGTTTCTTGTGCTCTCGCCATGCGTCGGTCGATTGGCGATATTGCACCTGAGTTCTCCATTGCCAACAGCGTCGCGTTAATCTCGCGTGTCAGCGTTTTCATGGGGTTTGATTCGCATGGGACATAGGACTGACGATCCTCCAACAAGCTTTTGGCTTTTTGATTGTAGTCTGTCCTGTCCAATACGACCGTTGAACGCCCCTTGTCCGTAGGCACGATAACGAGGTCGTTGTCAGCCCTGAGTTCTTTAAGTGCATCGCACTCGACCTTGGAAAGCACGTCGCGCGGCCTATGAGCCATGAGGAGGGAGGACACTTGGTGTCGAATGAGGTTCTTCGTTTCGTCGGTTGCTCCCGTCTGGCTGAGGATTGATTCCACTGGTGCAATCATGTTGGCAGGTTTGGCATCGGCTGTGTTGAATGAGGCCTCATGCCGTAAAACCTGCATTTATTCCTCCGTCAGCTCCTTTGTCGACAAGTTGTGCACCAGTTTGTCGTTCTTGGATGGCATTGGAGCAGGCAGCTTACGAAATTTGTTCTCTAGGGCTGCTTCCTGCGTTCGTTCGACCAGTCTCTGCTGAGGCAGTTTTATGCCGTCCTCGCCCATGAACTCGTAGCACCTTGCTTTCTCTTGGACAATCCTCTGACGGTATTTGCGAATCCGTGAGTGACAGTCTTGAAGGAGCACTCGGATCATTCGTCGGCCGTGCTGAAGTACTGCGCGCCTCGCCAGCTCTGTGTTGACCGGAGGTTTGTATGAAACGCACTTCGGCAGCACATTGTTGTCGAGACACCTGTGCAGAAATCGAATCTGCGCATATGTTGACGACTCTCGAAGGGCAAAGGAAGCTAACTTTGATTGTAAGCTAGCCGCTCTCTGTGATAGTGACGCAGATTAATCTGCCAGACGATTGGCGCACTGGCCGACAGTGAGATCGCTAACGACAGTCAAGGCATGCTTGAAATCTCTGCCTAGAACACGTTATGGCGTAGCAGCCGGTACAGCATGGCGTATACGTAGATGGCGGAGTCAAACAGAAGTTAATCATGCCGAACGATTGTGCATCGTACATCCACAATCTAAATGTCAAGAGAATGTCTGGGTGAGAGTTGATTTCCCGGTTTAACTTGATTGATCGCAGTTTTGAGATAATGCAAACCCACGTAAATCATACATACGGGAAACACTAGCGGGCTGGATAAGACGAGAAAGTGTTGATGAGGCCGATGTTCTTCCATTGGAGGAAAACCAGACAAGCAGCCGGCGATGACCCATTTACAGTCGAGTTGATGAGCTAATGACTGATCGGCGAGGATGCTGTGGTGAAGGGAATTGCTGCACCGCGTAGGATGGATGGTTTGGGCGTGAGGGACCTAAAGTAGAGAAAGGTTGTAGTGGTCACATTTCTTCAATCTAAACTTGGGGAA